ATTCATAGTCAGTTCTTATTTTAAGATCGTCTTAAGTAATGTCTTAAATCGCTAATGCGGCCTTCTGATTGGTTCATGACATCTTAAGACTGTACTTAAGACGGTCTTAAATATAAGATCCGACTATGAATACCGGCCTATGACAGTGAAACTAGCTCAATCGAACATAAAGAGTTCACTACACTGTGGCAGAGATAAGCGGGGAGCACAGACTCTTGCATAACGCATAACACGTAATGCATAAGAATATGTATCAATCGAAGTTCTCCGTTTCTTTTCCTTCCATGTAATAGAGAACTCTGGTTGGTTCAATTTCTTATGCCTCATGTGTTATGCGTTATGCAAGAGTCTGTGCTCCCCGCTTTACCCAATTGAACCCATTTGTATTGACACTAATCTAGTGCAGTTATGAATCGAACACAAGTGGCAGACGCACCAATAAAGGATAACCTCAATCGAACACGCTAAAACTAATAGCGTATTCGATTACTGACTCGACCCAACTCTGAGTCAACAGTCTGTTCTTTTTAGCTGCATTTCTTACATAATTTAGCTCTTCTTTTGCAGCTAAACAGAACAGACTATTGACTCGGAGTCGAGTCGAGTCAGTAAATCGAATACGCTAAAAGAAAAGGCGCACTCAGTGCACACTAGTGCGCACTAGTGCATCCAATCGAATTCGCCATTAGATCATCCATTCAGCATTTTAGATCAGGGGCTCTATTCTTGAAAACAAACGTATATGATAGTCTAGGGAAATACTATAGTATACGTAACATATACTGTAGCATTTCCCTAGATTTTCGTATACGTTGTTTTTTAAGAATAGAGCCCCTGAAAGAATACATCTATAGCAATGAGCGCTCACTCACGTTGTGTTCCAAAATTCTCTGCCAGCGCTAAAAATCTACAATTTCGTATACTATACTTTGGGTGCTTTCCATTTGATGACACAAGTCGATATAAGTGTCGTTCTATCTTTATCACTCTCTGAATGTCAACAAGGATAGAACGACGCTTGTGCCGACTCGTGTCGACTTGTGTCATCAAGGGTGCGTTCGGAAATATCACCCGAGTGCCCCCGTGAATCTTATTATCTTTGTTGTTCACTCAGTGTTAAACAAGGATAAGATGATACACGGAGACCCGGGTGATGTTTTCGAACGCAGCCCATATAGAAAGCACCCATTTTCAGCACTAGCAGTAAATTTTGGAACACATGCTGGATTTAGGATATGTATCCACTGAGCGCATCACGCGAAAGAAAAAAAGAGTGAAGTTTATACTCCTCTCTTTCTCTCTTTCGAGTCGCGCCTTCACGCGATGGACGACGCGACGCGTGACACGCTCAGTGGATACGTACCATTAAGCCTCGTCTACAATAGTCGCACAAGCTGTGTCGCATGTCGTATGAAATGTCGCAGAAGTGTCGCATATAGTCGCATGATTGCGTAGTCGCAAGAGCTCTTGTCATACGAAGCATGGTGAAATCAAAGACAAGAGAATGGACTGCACGATCCGTGTAGTGGTATATGATGGTCGAGGAAAATGAGAGAGAGGGACGTAGGTTGCGGCCAATCTGTGTCTTTTTCTACTC